TCTAACCCGAGTTCCAAAACTCTTCATCTTTGAGAAATATGGATTACTTCCATCGCAAGGTCGTCGTCCTTGGTTACATAGAAATCTCATAGCTCACAGTTTGGGTTTTAACAATTAAAACATATAAACAAAAAATCAATTTTCTAATATATAGTCGAATTGGGATAATAAATATTTATCATTACCTCCTATTAGTGTAATAAGCTCTAACACCGTTAAGAGCATAACCATAAGTCTACGCATGCAAAAATCACATATTATATACTTTGAAACTTTCGAAGACTCCTTACTTCTTTCTGTTAGGCATGACTTAAGCACACGTCTTATTGGCTATCACCACTATTTCTAAGAGTCCAAACTAAATTAAGAAGGCAAGATTACTTTGAATTTTCGTATGACAACAAAAATTTTAATTGTCAACTACCGAATGAAACTTTGGTCTTGCATGGTGTAAGACTATCAAGATTTACCAGTTGGAGGTAATATGTTCTTGACAAATGTCTTTATTAACTCCATGCTTAATTCATTCGATCCATATACACCAACTAAAAAACGGTTAGATCTTCAGAGATAAGATACCTAAAAAAGTATAAGAGCGTGCTTGGTTCTCCCAAAATCAGTTTGGTTTTCGCAAAATATTCCCATGCAAAATTTCATTCACTGGGTGGTCGCTAGGGAAAGATTACCTACTCGTGATAGGCTACGGCGTTGGGGATTGCAAGTGTCACTCACATGTATGCTATGTAGTGTAGCTGCGGAATCTCGCTCTCACCTTTTGAATGTACGTATGCGCCTCAAGTTTGAGAATCTTTTTTCACCCACCAAGGTTGGGTTAGATTTGCTTCCTCCATAAAAAAAGCTAAAAGAGCAACAAATTGGTGGGCATAATTTCTGTCCCGTCCCATTATGTACCCACTCTCGAGTTTATGTACCATATATATATTTCCCGTATTCCCATATAGGACAAGTTTTTTTTTCCGATTCGAAACAGGATGAAAATGGAAACATAAATTTCTAAAATCCCGTTCGATATAAATAAATACGTATTAAATTATATTTTATATATATTTATTGAGGAATCATATAATATATTATATCATATACTACAAAAAAAACAATTAATTTTCTTATTCTTCTATTGTAGATCACGAATATATATATATATATAAAATCTATATTATTGGATTTATGTGGTTTACTTTATATTTGATTCATCTTGATTCGACGGTGATGTTTTTTATTTAAAACATTTATGAAAGTTTTGTTTTTCTTAATTTCGAAAATGCTTTGATGAATTAAAGAATTAGTTTAAATACATATTTGCAATTTGCAACATTGTTTGATTTAATTTAGTATTTTGAAACCGGTTATCTTATTGGAATTTCCATACCGTTTCTGTCCCATCCTGTTTTATTCCGTTCCCATTAGGAATTTTAAATGGGACACAAATAGAACATATTTTTCTAGTCCCAAAACCTCGTTTTAGTCCGTTCCCATGAAATCATATCCCATATTCCTGTTTGTGCACCCTATGAACTTTGGAAAGAACTAAATGTGCGATTACATCGCGACAAAACCAAGCCTTTGACTCAACTAATTTTGAGAAGGAAGCTAGCAGGCCTTAATAGCCGTGCCGGTTCCCCTTCACATCCTTCTTCAAGTTCTTCTCATGCGCACTCTTACATATCTATGTGGTTTGGGTTCGTTTAATTTGGGAATGACCCAGCATCATAAGCTCTACAACGAACTCTCCATAGCTAGTACTCTTCAAATATGCAAGTCTGAATGGTATACTGAAGTGCTCTGTTTAACATAATATTTTTCTTATATGGTATAATATGTATGGTCAGGTTAATTTCGACAGATCCATTTTTGCTTTATTTGATTTCAGAGAGTTCATGTACTAAAAAATATAATGTCTTCTTTTTAGGGAATGAAAATAGAGAAATAATGTATGATTCAGAAGAAAACGAAAAAAAAGTATAAGAGCTTGTTTATTTTGTGTAAGTGTAATTAAGCATAACTTTTCAAAATTATGATGAACATATCAGTTCTCATAATAATCGAGAGAAGAATTCATGAGCACACATGAATTTAGTCAATGCATTTTACTATCTTTCAGGTTGATAAGGACCATAAAACAAAAAGAATGCTCATACATTTTTCCAAAAAAAAATTATGATGGAAAAAAAAAATACAAATTAAGAGATACAAATTCAAGAATTATTTTCTGAATAGTACTATTATTTATCATTGTTTTCCACTTTCCCAAAAGGAAAGACATTTTCTGAGAGTACAAATTTGAGACCGAAACCTAAAAACATAATCTAAGAAATTGATAAAATAGCAGTTAGAGGATAGTAGCACAAAGGAAGAACTGAGAAAGTGTACATTGGGACTTTAGAGAGTCAGAGTAAGATCAGTTACATTCATTGTTGGTGTTGATGATGACGGAGAAGTAGCTTTTTTGTCTAACCCGGCAAGCTTCTGCCTCATAAGAACTTGATCTTCTTTGATCAAACAGTCGGCAGACTTGGATACAGAAGTGTGCAATCTAGTGTTTCTCTCTCTCCATAACTTGTAAACTATAGCTTGTAAAAGTAACTTGCAAATGACAGTTGCCTTGGGATATGCAGAAACCTTACTTACCCCAAGCTACAATTGCATCAAGAGAAGATGGGGGATTCAACCTTACATGATAAAAGAAAGAAGTCCATACCTGATATGCAAAAGTCCATACCTGATATGCCATCGCTTTCTGGTACTTTTCTTTTAGTGCTTCGACGGTTCGACCCAAAGCCATAGCTTAGTGGATAAGATGGTTGCGCTCTAGCTCACTCAAGAATGGGACGGCAGTGGTCCTCTAGCAACCCCGTTGTGATCTTAGACGCTTATAAACATACAACAGAACCAAAAAAAAATCTACAATGTTAACAATATGATCAGAACCTACATGAAAAATGTAGTTTTCTTATATAGCTAATGATAATAAGTATATGAATAAGCACGACCTGTGTTTGCAAAGTGTTAGCCAACATCACAACTTTTTCTTAATTAAGTCTTCATTTTAGTACGAAATCATTCCATATCAAGTATCATCAACCCGATTCCAAGATATATCTTTATAAAAAGGTAAAATACTCGTAAGAAAAAAGTACACAATTGTTCTCGTCACTTTTCCAAAATGAATCAAGAACGAATGAGACACAATCCGATTTAATCATTGTCAAGAAACTCCATTCTCTTCCTCATCGTTCCTTTCAACTCACTTGCTTCTCTCTCCACCTTCCGCGCCTACATCAACACACATTCCCCAAAAACCAAATCATCAACACGTAAACAACATCACAAAATAGATCAATTTTTCTATGTTTATTTATTTTATCACCTTTGACAAACAAATCATATTTGGAGGAAGTTCGTCTCTCTCCGTCCCGGCACATGGTTTAAAGCCAAACCAGTGAATTGAAAAACACAAAGTGATATATAAAAAAAGTAAATGGAGAAGTATTACCAGCTCACCAATCTGAACAACATTCTCTCCATGGATTACATAGGCCTAAACGAATGTCGCAATATTGTTCCCCAACAATTATACCATCTGACATGCACTTCTAGAATCGCATTTACTGTTTATTTATAACAACAAAATTATACTTATAATCTCTCTCCCAATAACAATATCATAAATGCAGGAGAATGAAAAAGAAAAAAGTGAATACCGAATTGATCAAATGAGCTAAGCGTTCCCATTAACTTTCTACGATCTCTTAGGAGCACAATTAGTTTTCTTACATCATACTGAGCAGAGTCAAAATCCTTAAGCAACTGATGCACAACGAACCTCCAAACTCAAAAACTACCTCAATATGAGGATGAAAATAAACTCATATCCCAAAAATCTACAAAAAAACCATCGCAAAGAACCAATGTAGAAAAAAGCTCAAATTTAGATTCTTAAGCTGATAGCGAATCAAATTCAGCACATGTTATAATATACTACTTAAGTTGAATCAAGAGTTTTCTTCCAAAGAAACTCGTCAACAGAATAAAAGAAAAACGACTTGGTAGAATATTTGAGCTAAGTATATAACATATCGGCAAAAAAGATTGTATATCTAACATATAAAAACACACATCTTTAAAGTTAAAAACAAAAGCATAAAAATGATGTATTGGTAATAACACGGAAAATATCAAAAAACATTTGTTTCATAAGTTCTTAGAAATTGCAGAGAGACTAAGAACTCATCGGAAAGCTCTAGCTTATCACATAAAATAATAAAATTTCCTTGTGGAAAACTTTTTCTTTTTGTGGATAGCCACACAATGATCACCAGTGTACTAACTAAATATCACCACACCAATTGCACTAACCAGATCAATGAATCACTTAAATTATCAATGATATGGGAATTACTTTAAATTTGTAATCCTAATTAAAAATCAGAAAAGAGAAAGGCAAAGAACCAAATCCTAAACGATAAAGGAACATAAAAAAGATATATACAAAGAGACCGAAACAAAAAAATATATAATAACAAAAGTGATCGCCAAAGACAATCATACCTCTATGATGATGTTCAAGTCTACGAAAAAAAAGTGAGAAAGGTCAAAAGAACACAAACTTAGAAAGTTATAAACGGAGATAGTTGATACAAACTTGAAATAAGTTAGCAAAGAATGAAATATGTGAAACAAATTATATAACAAAAAATCATTTCATAGGTAAAAAAATAGATGAACCTGAAAACTACTCATACCTATTGATAAACCTGAAAACAAAAATTAATAGATATGAATAACTCTAATTATATACCTATCAACAAACAAAGCAAACATGAAAGACAATCATACCTAAATCACTCATACCACAATGACCACGTTAAAATCTGTAAAAGAACAAAATAATTAGGTTTAAAGAGCACAAACATATGTTGACCAAAAAAAAAAACACAAACATATTTTCGAAAGAAAAAAAAGAGCACAAACATATAATAAAAACCTTTAGTGATTACGTAAAAGAAGAATGCAAAATCCAAAAAACAAACACTAATGTCGTGTACGAAATAAAACATGTACATGTATACTAATATCAACATAGATAACAGAAAATATGAATTAAAACAAATCGAATCGTAATTCATATAAAACAGCAGCCTCAAACCTATTAGTGAATCTGGGATTTACAGATTTATACAAAAACCTATATTATACCATATTTGTACGGGAGAATAAGAACATACACACTAATACATAAAAAACACAATAAATTTATTCATAATCAAAACTAACCTCGATTGCGAGGGTACAACCTATATAACATAAACTAATTAGCTTCGAATAAGAACACACAAATTTATAAGAAAAYGCAAGARATCCRACRAATACAAATTTTCCATCACCTCCGGTAAAGTCTCCACCACCACCTTAGTACCTTTCCTTCAACTTCCCACAACATGCCGTTTTGATTTCCTTGTAAGTAAAGGAATCAGAGAGAAGCYCATCACCTRTTTGAYACAARAAGATAAATACATAGATTAGCTTATGACCCAAGCAAACACAAAATCAATATATAAAAGTGACTATGATTAGGGTTTGATGATGGGATTACAATACTCAAAAGTAAACCAAGAGAACAAGCACAAAAAAAATCGTTAGCATTGATAATAAAACAAAAACTGACGTCGTTTATGAATTACAAACACAGACACAAAACAGAACAATTAGGTTAGATATAGTATATAAATAAAATTCGACTCCAATAAATGATAATTGATTACGTGATTGATAAATAACGTATGACTACTAACCTCGCTGATGGTAATATGATCTGTAAAAATTAAAAACAACCATGTATAGGCGTTAGTTTTATTTATATAGATAGTACTTTAAATTTATATACCTAATATTAAAGGAACGAAAAAAAATAACTTCAACGATGAGGACAACACATCTG